GGAAGGGGGGGGAGAGAGGAGAGACGCACAAGGTGGTTATGCTTACTAAACCCAGAGAACACCAAGGGTACGGACAGAAGAACAGCTCCCCACTGTAACTCAATTCTTTGCAGGAAGCATTCCAAGTTACAACAGTCCCCCAGACCAAACAGAAGTATGCTGTTGGGTCCAGTGGGGAAGGGAAGGTGGGGAATCCAGCTGCTGGCTGTGAGCCTACAGCCAATGCCACAACCCACCCCACCACTTCTGAAAACAGCTCCAAGGCTGGGAGGCAGGCAGACCAAAGTTACTGAAAACGTTATGTTTTGAAATGTCTTCATCTGAACTCTCATGCAACAAGGGCTCAGATTTTCATGGGACTGGGCCCTTTTAAAGCATTTTGCAGCTGTGCACTTCTGTTTGGTCACAGCTGCACACCACTTTCTGGGGCCAGATCAGGCAAAAATTGTCACTTCTATCTGCATCCTAAAACAGTAAGCCACTGGCCAACAGAATTGATATTTAGACAACCTCAAAAAGCATTCAGAATTCACTATAAGAATCAAAACCAAAGGTTACCTACAGCACAATATACTCACTTGTTTAACTGAATTAAAGATGATGCTTCTCAGATCCCAAAAATTAGTCAATTATGGGTAGAGAATTAATGTTTCAGACCTAACAAAACTAACTGCAAATAACATTACTCATGCATACAGAAATGCCAAGACACAGTTCTTTACTTACCATCACTTTCACTTTTACTTTTCATGTCTTCCATCCATGTTGGAATATCTTTTAGTAGAACATAGTCCCTCAAATATTCTTTGCGCCTCTCCTCCAAAGTCATCTTTAACAAACGCTCTGGTTAAAAACAAAAACAAAAACAAAAATGTAAAGTAATTGAAGTAAAGTAATTTTCGGTTGCTAGGGAAAGGATGATGCAAGAGAAACAGATATGATGTAATTCAATGCTGTCCAACTTCCAAGCAGGCAGGGACCTCACTCTCCGTGGGCTACATCAGTGGGGGCCGCACCAGTATAGGCCACAGGCCCCACTGGCTGCAATCCATATGCGTAAACTCCCCCACACTTTTTCAGTACTCCATGTGGTACCCTACCTCACCTTCAGCTGCCCAGCTATGGGCTCTCTTGCTGCACCACACACCACACTGCACGGGCACTCTGAGCTGTCAGCTCCTCCAGTAGCATGAGCTGCACCATGCCACCCTGCCCTGCCCCTGAAGCTGCAGCCAAAGGAATACAGGTAGCAGCAGGTAGATGGGAGCCTGGGAGGGGAGCGGAAAGGGCTGCACATTAACCTCTTGCAGGCTGCATACAATCCACAGGCCACCAGTTGGATAAACCTGGTATAATTAAACAAGTTACACTATGCACTTTAATGTTATTAGTCTTCTTCAGTCCATTGTGACACATTTGCCACTTACTTTGCAGCAAAAATCACCAATACCTGGTATGATCTGGGGTCCACTTTTAATCTGGGGGGCAAGAAGCTCGATCTTGTCTTGGTTATATGGATCATTTTAAATTGCTTTCATACACTGATGCAGAGAATGTTCCTGTGGGGTGGGGATGAGAGCAACCAGTTGCAAAATGGTCCTGTGTTCATCTGGGCTTGTAAAAAATCAGCTGGGGGAGACAGGGACTACTACTGGCAGAGGCTGTCAATGCCCCCCAGAAACCACTGACTGATGCTAACACCTAAACCAGGTATCACTGCGTTTTCCCTTTTGGGGAAGAGAATTGAATGGGAAGCTGCCTAACAGCTCCATTTGGATGCCACTGGATTCCTGGACCCTTGTCAGTTTGGCTTTAATCCTGGATATAGCACAGAGACTTTACTCATGTCCTTGGTTGGCAATCTTTGCCTTAAGATAGACAGGGGAAATTGTGCCCTGCTGATCTTACTAGATTTTTCAGTGGCCTTTGATATATGTGACCATAAAGGATTTATATAACCTGATGGCTATTTGCAGAACCACTCTAGAGTGGCTCTGCTCTTTGCTACTAGAGCATTTGCTCTAGTATCACCATCTAGGCCCCATCCCCACCACTTGCATCACCATCTGGGCATCATCCTCTCATAACCTTTCCTGTGGGGTCCTCCAGTGCTCCACCTTGTCACCCTTCCCATTCAATGGCTGCTGAATGAGACTGTGCAGAAAGTAAGACTGAGATGCCATCACTATGCTGATGATATCCAGGTCATCTAGAGATGTGCCAATACATCAGTCCGATATTGGATCAGTACTGATATAAAGAAAATTGACTGTATCAGAAATCGGCCCAAAGGAACTGATAATTTGGCTGATAAATGCCTGTGCGTCCAAGCAGCTGCAGCACAGCACTCAGGCAGGAAGGAGCAGAGCCCAGTAGCGTGGAGAGCTGCCTCCAGCTGGCAAGTTCACTGTGGTGGAACAGGAGGGAAGAGGGAAGGGGCATGGGGGGGGACAGATCGATGCCCTCCACAGTGAGGGAGGGAAGGGACAGGGGCAGGGGCTGCCCAACCAGGGCAGGGCATGGGACTGGACAGACCCGCAGCTTATGGGGGGGGGG